TTCGTTGTCAAGCCGAAGATCGCCTTCCTTTTCATTTCTCGGAATCGGCTTCCTCTCGATATAGTTTGGGATGCTTTTTTCAAGGTACTCAAAGTAAATTCGTAACAATTAATCTTTGTTCCTTTTTTTTTTTAAATCAATTATTCATAAATTCAACAAATCCTACTCAATGTGGATGTTCTTTGGTGTGCTTTACGGTGTTTCCATTTTTAGCATATATGGATAAAGTTTGTTTTCCTTTTCTTTTAGCTACAATTTTCTTTAGTTAGTTGAATAAATATTTCTATAGATTTGAAAGTAGAGAAAATATTATGCCTCTTTTTGAATTATTATCTTAATCGTTATTCATCATAATGATTCTGTAGGAAATCTAAAACCTCAGAAATTAGATTCTGTGAACCTTACTAAGGAATCGAATTATGACAAGCAAGATTTCGGCCAGTAATCTAATTTTCCCTGAACCAAATTCATCATAAGTGTTGTTGTTACTTTTTTTTAAAAATTTTTTTAAGGTTTTATATTTTATTTATTTATTTATTTATTTGCAGGGAGAAGAAAACAGATTTTCAATTTATGTTCACTCTAGGCCTGGCTTTTTATTCAATAAGGGAACAACGAGATCTACTTATTTTTTGAATCGGCAAGTTAATGATAGTATACAGGTTAATTTTTCTACCGTTGGAATCTTGTTTTAAAACTAAATTTTCTTTAGAATTTTGAACATGTTTTGTTTGTCATAGCCGGTGTTTATTTGTGAAATAAATGTAAAAGTGATCTGATGGTGATCGAATGCATTTATGTTATCCCTTGTCTTCATTCCAGTGCTTACGTTAATTTTGCAATCATAAATGACATGTCAAATCTTGAGTTTGCTGGGGCTACACCAACATGGTGGGAAGGGATTATGTAATAATTTTTCCTTGTATATCACTGTATGAGACCTCAACATTTTTGGAAACGCTAGAGGCTGTCACCAAAGCCAAAAAAACCATCATACTGCTGTTGTAAAGTCACTTTGTTGTTACATGAACTTGTGTATGTACATGCACGTGCATGTTCTGTTCCATGAAAGGAAGATGACCTTGATTCCTTGGAGTTGTTTTTCAATTGCCAAAGAATCTGCACCTTTAGGCTTTTAAGTCTTAAGGTTAGTTAATCCTGAAGATTTGAGGGTAGAATATTTTATAATGGATAAAAGTCGGGAGAAAAAGTAGCATTACCTTACATGTTAACATAAGACAGAGTTGTTATAATGACAAGTTTGTTGGTGTGTGTTATGTATTTATCTGAAATTATCATGGAGCCTTTTGTTTGAAATTCCTTTATGCTATTAATCATGATTGGTAGCCTAATGCATTATGAAAAAGTGATGATAGAATGTGTAATATTAAATTTCTGTTTCTGCTGAGATGATAAGATTTGGTTCATGTGTTCTATTTCAGGTAGATTGGGGAGAAGCAAGCATGATTGAGGCTGAGCGTATATTGCTCAGACATGCATTGACGGATCCTTGTAATGAACGCTTTGTTTTTGTCTCAGATAGGTAAGGATAGATTCGTATGTTGATTGTGCAGTTAAGGCCTTTGTTTGTATTATTTTTGGTTTCAAGTTAAGAACAATACTTTTTTGACATTTTGTTATCTAACAATACTTCAGTTACTTGTTTTATTCTCAGCTGTATACCTCTTTATAACTTCAGTTATATGTATGACTATATCATGTCAACACCAACTAGTTTCGTTGACAGGTTAGTGGACCTTGGGATTTTATTTTGTTGGGGCATTTCTTTTTTATCACATGCTATCATCTATTAACATCCATTTGGAATACAAATTGGCGGCTAAATTTTGGAGTGTTCAGTTGGGTCTCTTGATGGAACTTAGTTTTATGCTACCCATAGAGAGAAATGGTGATTAACTATTAATTTTTGACCGCATCTTTATTTCTGATGTGTGTTTGCCCTGCATATTTGGAAGGTGTTGTGCATTACATTCTGATGCTTTCTCAACAGGAAACAAAAACTAGAGACCAGATTCTTGATCTAGAAAATAAATGTACTTATGTCATTCCACCTATGTATTTTGCTGACCCCAAATTGTTTTTCTGATAAAGACCTTGCTCTGGGGGAATAGATACTACACCAAAAACGAGATTGAATCGTTAATTCAGAAGGAGCTTTAAGATGCCAATATTCTTGTCCAGCAGTTCTTCAACATAAATTGGAATCAACTGGCTAATAACTATTATAAACTTCCATGATGCCTTCTCAGTTCTCATAGTATTTTGCCGTGCACCAACCTTTAGCTTAAAGCAATTTTAGGATTATCTTTCTCTGAATTTTCCAATGGCTTGTGTGCAGCTTTGCTGATACAAAAGAGGGTCGTTACAACCCAAAAATGAACCCTGTTATTCCTGTTTACAACTGGAGGAAAGGATCACAGGTAACAATTAGATTTTTGTGGTTGACATTTTCTTGATGTTTTAAGCTATATAAAAGAAAAACGTAATATAGTATGAATAGTTTGAATATTTCTTGCAAGAGTTTTGCAGTGGGTTGACCATATTCATCTAATGATTTGCTCATCCTGCAGTGGGCTGTACTAACAAGAAAGCATGCGGAGGTTGTTGTAAATGATACTACAGTCTTTCCCATGTTTCAACAACATTGCCAGGCAAGTTATCTTGTATTTACAAATGATGGCCTTTTTATTATTTTAAGAAGATCATGTAATCACAGAATGGCACGATACTCTTTAAGAATTTCTAGCTAACAATGGTGCTTTATTTACATGTTTTGAGAATGAATATTACTAAATGGATGGTTATTTGGACTCCATTGCAAACTTAGCCTGGGGAATTATGGTTCCTTTTCTGAAATATACTTGGGCAAATACTTTTCACAATCTAATCGAGTAAATTATTTTCTGAAATGTTTTCTTGTTTGTTAAGGATCTGCTATTTTCTCATATTTTACCTAATCAATACCATGCAGAGGAGATCATTGCCAGAGTTTTGGCGAGATCGTCCCTTTGTAAGTATGAATGTATCATATTTTGATATATTTTCAATATTTTTTCTAGTGCAATTTGCAAAAAACTTCTTAGTACTTCTAAGTGTTTTAATGGATGTAATAATCTTATGTTTTTATAAGGTGCAGCCAGTTGACCCAGCAAAGGAGCACAATTGTATACCAGATGAACATTATGTGCAGACATTACTTGCTGTAAGAATTTATTACCACACTCTTCTTCTTCTTTCTTTTAGTTTCTGAGTTGATATAAAAGGTCTGCTTGTATTGCGAAAAAAGTTTGGAATTGCTATTTGCTGCTGATTTACTAGGGCAATAAAATATTTTGGGTCAGAAAGTGCCAGTGTGAACTATTTAGTGGTTCTCATATGTTACAAACATCCTCTACAAGTGTGTTAAAATTTTCCATTCTCATTTCCGTACTTTTTTGAGCGGTGAGCATTTCAAGTTTGCACATGAAACTTCTTGAAAGGCTTTGAATTAAAGTGCTAATCATACTGCTCTTGTTATTGTTTCTTTTTGTCCAATGATCATATCACTTTGTAATATCATTCTCTTTCAAAATGTTCAGCAAGAAGGCTTTGAAGGAGAAATCACACAGAGATCATTAACCTATTCTGCATGGGATCTTTCTGCCTCCAAAGATCGTGAACGCCGTGGATGGCATCCAGTGACTTATAAGTTTTCTGATGCCACTCCCTTGCTTATTAAATCTATAAAGGTATCTTTGCCCTTCCTTCGAGCTACTACATGGTAATGATCTCCAGTTCTCTACATTTCTTATTATTTAAAGCTAGAAAAGTCTAGAATAATATGTAGTTGACATTTAATCGTCCCAGTTGGAATTCAACTTGTGCATTGCAGAATGGAGACTAATTTGAAGAAAAACTAATTAAATTAACGAAAAATTTTGTATTTCCTAAACCAATGGGAACAGAGTGTAAAGGAATATAATGTATTACGCAGGAAATTGACAATATCCATTACGAGACTGAAAACAGAAGGGAATGGTGTAGTAGCAAGGGGAAACCATCCCCATGCTTCCTTTTCGCAAGAAAATTCACCAGGCCTGCTGCTCTCCACCTTCTTAATTTGGTAAGTTTCAATTTCGCACAACTCTTTTCAATATAGATGGATGCTAAAAAACCACGCTTTTCTAAGACGTTTTCGCATGGCTCTAGAAATAGCTTCTACTTATACGGTTCATGTTTCTGTTGGACAGTCAATTCTGGGAGCTCGACGCGGAGCAAAAAGCGAATCTTAACCATGCACGGGTAATTTTCTATGGTAAGTCTAATGTTAGGTAGGATTTGTTATGCTTAACCTGTTATATTTTTGCAGTAAAAAAATAATGGAGAGAGGTGTAAATTAGAGGGGGAAATGAAATCTAAAGTGTGTTGTTGTATAATAAAAATATCATTTTTTAAAAAAGACTACATATAATAAAAAGAAAATATCATTGTTTTATGGTTGCTTTATTGTTTAATATTAGGACTGCCCGTGGTTATTCTTTAAATCTGAGAATTACCATTAGTCATTAGAGGTTGGACATGGCGATGGGGGCAATGAAATGTTTCTCTGCCATGCCTAAAGTGCGATCAAATCTGAGAACTGGTTCTCCAGTGATCCAAGCAAAAGCAGAACATAACATTTTTCTAAACTTTTCAGCTGTCAGAGAAATGGTTATACTCAATCTGCCTAAGAAATAGTTTTGTTCAAAACAAAAGATGGGCCTGCACTCAAAATTTGTTACTTGTTATAGTAATTTTTTATAGAAAGAGGTCAAGGTTTAAGAGAAATTAAGAAAGAAGAGTATCATTAATGTGGATGAAATTTCAATGCAAAATAAGTTTTTTATTAAATAATTTTAAGGTAGATTGTATTAAAGATAAAAAAAAATTGTGTTAAGTCATAATTTTGAATTTTTTTGTCACTTATTTTTATAAAAAATAACACTTTTATTTATTTTTAATTCTCATTATTTTTATTAGTAACAATTTCATCTGTGTATTATTATACTGTTGATCTCAATCCTGAATAAAATGAAAAGGATTACGATAGGTTCACGATCAATGTAAAGCATAATCAAATCATCAAGTTAAATGCAGGTTCCACTGAGAAAAATTATTAGTTTCACATGAAAGAAGGGTTGCAGTCAATTCTAGACCTTTTGACTGAACCGTTAAGGCTTTTGGATTGGAACATTCAATTGGGTTTTGGCCACGAAATCTTCTTGTATTGGAAATGGGCCGTGAAATAAGCTCTATTAGTTCTTAACCAGTTCATGGAATGCATCTTTTGTTTGTTTGTTTTGTTTTGGGCTAGCATATCAAATTCCAATGCAATTTAACTCAATGTGCACTTTTTTCTAATTGTTTATTGCAATTTAGATTCTATAAAATTACAAAAGAAGTTCAAACCTCTATCGAAATCCTAAACATGGTCAATTTAAAGAATTAATTTTTTTATATTTAATTTTTTCAAAAATTAAATTTTAATTATTTAAATTAAAAATCTAATACTCTTTTAATGGACCACTTTATATTTAATGTTTTCAAAAATTAAATTGTAATCATTTCAATTAAAAATCTAATACTCTTTTAATGGACCACACATTACACAAGTAATTTAAGTATTTGATATATTCTTAAATATCAATATCCAAGTCAATAAATCCTTAGTTTAATGACAAAAAAGATGTTTTAGAATTCTAAAGTCGTGTAAATTTTAATGTATGTAAATTTAATTATTTAATTATATTTTAATTTATTAATAATATGTTATATAAAAATATAATATTAATTATAATTATAATTATAGTTGTAAATTTTTTTATACTTGTAATTTCATAAAAAAAATAACAATATAAAAAAAAATTTATTTGCCAATGATCTTTACGGGTCTAGAGCCTCCAAATTTTCAGCCTATATAGGCCCACAACTGAGAAAGGGGAAAAACACTAAACAACCCCTTATTTACGTCTTAACTAAGAAACCCGAACCAAAGCCAATTTTTTCCAAATCAAACCCCCATTTGTCTCTGATCCCAAAAACCCACCAGCTGCATATTCTTCTCAAAAAAAAACCCAAAATTCTTTTCCCATCATCTTAAAAAAATCTGAGAATTTCCATCGATGAATACATCTCAGTTCATGGACAAGCAAATAATGGACTTAACATCATCATCATCTTCTTCACCTCCCCAAAACACCAACAAAGATTTCATCGATCTGATGAATCACCCACAAGACGAAGACAATCACAATCAAAGCTCTGGGTTTGGCTCCGCTAATAACGGGATTAATAACAAGGAAGAGATCTTTCCCAGCTATGATTTCCAAGCGATCCGACCCGTTTCAACCAGCCTTGACGCCGCTGGAGTTAATAATAATAATCTCCGGTCGTGGAGTTCGATTGATTCTAAATCTAAGGTAAACCTTCACCCTCCCACTTTTTTTCGCTTTTTGGTTGATTAAAATTTGTGTTTTTTCAAAAAATTGGATTTTGGGGGTTTATTTTATGTGTTCTAGTTTATTTGTTTTGGTTTAGGTTTATTCAGTGAATTGTGATTTAATTAGTAATTTTGTGGGTCTTAACTTATTTTATTTATAGTTAACTTATTACTTATGTGCATTTTTTTTTTGTGTTAAATTTTCTTGGCGTTTCTTCAATGCATATTATAGTTTGATTAGTAAATTTTCTTTGGTATCAGCTTGATTTCTTAGTAGTTAAGTTATGAGATTCAGTTGGGTTTCTTCTAATGCATTACCGTTTACTTGACTTTTCCTTGCTATTGGACAGAATTATGGTTCTCTTGACTCCATTGAACCTGCAAAAGTCATTCTAGAAAAGGACCGAAATGCCTTTGACTCGTCGATAGTGGTTGAGATTGATCGAACCATAAAGAATTATACTGATAATTTGATGCACATGTTAGAAAGTGTTAGTGCCCGACTGACACAGCTGGAGAGTAGAACCCGTCACCTTGAGACTTCTGTGGATGATTTGAAGGTGTCTGTCGGAAGCAATCATGGAAGTGCTGATGGAAAAATGAGACAGCTGGAAAATATTTTAAAAGAGGTATTTTCTTGAACAATCTTCTTCCTTGGTATTTGGTTTTGTTGTGGCTGCCTCTGGTATATAAAGGTAGAAATACGTGTACATTGTGTATCTCGAGACCTTAAGTCCAGTCGCTGTTGTTGATAATATTAAGTCACTCAGATCATTATTCATTATGAAGACCGGTTTAGTCTTTTTGATCAGTGTGTTTAGTTGTTTCACTTCAAAAAAAATTTTTTTTGATGCAATCATTGTCAAATACTTGAAATGATTCTTTACACAGGGAAAGTTTGATAAGTCTAGTTATTGGAACTAAGCAGAACTGGTGCTATTAACTTATAGCAGTCTCTGGCCAAAAAACAAAAACTTATAGCGGTCAAAGTAGTAAGGCACAGTGGAAGCCATGATATTCAGGGACATGAAGTTGTCACACCATCCAAGCACTTGATTTTGCCTTACTTTGCTTTTGGTCTGACTAAATTGAAACCTCATCAAAATATGTGACTTAGTCTGGCTGTGTCTTTATCCCTTAGTGCTGTGAAGCATCATATCTAGTTCCCAAATTAAAGGTAGATTTCCAACTCACCTTCACTAAATCCTAGGAGTATGTTACTCAACTGCAAAGGTCTTCTATTGACTTACTATTACTTATTAGAGTACAAAGGACTTGGCTGATTTATAATGGCACTTAAAAAACTTACAATAGCACCCTGTAAAACCGAGCTGGGTAAACCATGAAGGTTGTGTTTATGCTTCATAATAACTTACTTGCGAGAAATGTTTGTTGAGATAGTATTGTTAAAGGACAGAATTGTATCATCTATTGGGATTTGTTGTAGGTTTATAATGCTAGCATATGATCTTTGCATGTCACTGGCTTGTGTGTTGATTTGATTTTCTTTTATCAACCACATTCAGGTGCAAACAGGGGTGCATGTTTTAATAGAAAAGCAGGAGATAATGGAAGCTCAGTTACAGCTTGCAAAGCTGCAGGTGACCAAGGGAGACAAGCCATCGGAAACCCAGAACTCCACCCAGATGGATTCTGTGCAGCAAGCTGCAGCTGCTCCTTTTCAATCTCACCAACAGCTTCCTCCTGCTCCCTCTTTTCCACAATCACTTCCTTCTGTTCCCCCTCCTCTTCCTCCTACTGTTCCTCCTCCAGCTCTACCCCAACAGAACCTGCCACCTCCAGTCCAGTCTTCAAGTCAGTTCCTACAGAACCAAGTTCCTTCTGTCCCTCAGCAAGATGCTTACTATCCACCACCTGGCCAAACTCAAGAGACTTCAAGTCAGCAATTCCCAATGCCTCCTACTCAGCAACCACTGCTTCCTCCTGCAGCAGCACCTCATCAACCATATCAACCAGTCCCTCAACCACAGTTTTCTCAACCACCGCAGCCCCATCAACTCCAACCTTCTTTAGGCCACCATCCTGAAGAGGCACCTTATGTTCCTTCTCAGGCCTATCCACCAAACCTGCGCCAGCCACCCTCTCAACCACCCAGTGGTCCTCCTTCTTCCCAACAGTATTATGGGGCTCCACCCCAAATGCATGAGCCACCATCCACCAGGCCTGGGCCAGGGTTTTCTACTGGATATATCCCGCAATCTGGGCCAAGTGAACCATATGCTTATGGTGGATCACTTTCACAATATAGTAGTGGCTCCCCTATGAAAATGCAGCAGCTCTCATCTTCTCCTATGGGGCAAAGTGCTGGAAGTGGTTATCCTCAGCTTCCAACTGCTAGGATGTTACAACATGCATTGCCCACTGCCTCTGGGGTTGGTGCTGGATCAGGTCCTTCTGGACCTGGAAACAGGGTTCCCGTTGATGATGTGGTTGACAAAGTGACCAGCATGGGATTTCCTAGAGATCATGTCAGGGCAACTGTTAGAAAGTTGACAGAGAATGGCCAGTCTGTGGACCTCAATATGGTGTTGGATAAGCTAATGAATGATAGCGAAGTACAGCCACCGAGAGGCTGGTTTGGCCGGTAACCTGGTTTCACTTATCCATGTTGATGTATAGAATTCACTTGATTGTCCTTTGAACTCGTCTGGAACCTAGGGGCTATTTCACCCCACTTGCTTTTCCCCCCGTTCACTCTTTCTTGCCCTTGTTTCTAAATTTCAAATTTCTTGGCTTAACCTTGAGTTGTTTAAAATTCTGGTTTGACTGTCCAGTTTTTTCATATTCGTTTATACTTACAATAATCTGAATTAAATTGTCAAGCTGCCATTTTGTTGATTTTTTTTTTTTAAATCTTTTTGTAATGTGAATGCGTTTACCATTTTACGATGGACCTTGCATCCAAGTCTTGCTGGTGGAAGACGACGACAAGCACTCAAGATCTGGTGTGGAGGAAAAGTGAAGATGGAGAAAATAAAACGGAAAAGGACAGTGAAGGAATATGCCTTCGGAATTGAAACAGTTCCATTGTATTATATTGACTATTAAGTAACAATTCTTGGATAGTAGAGATGGAAATCTAAAGATTGGGAATTTGGGTGAAGAAATAGTAAATAAAAAAAGTTGATTTATTTAATTATTTTAAAAAAATAATATTTAATAAATTGAAATTCGGATCATAATATTTAAAATCTCTTTATTTTTAAAAATAATACTTAATAAATTAAAATTCGAATTGATGCCGCTTTTAATAATAATAATAAAAAAAGCATGAAGCTTTTTTAGCATGAAGTTATTTTTTCATAGACTGGCTTTTGGATCATAAGAATATTTTATTATTAAAAATTTTATTTATTTATATTATTAAAATTATTAAAATATTAATATAAAAATTAAATTAATTTAAATGATCGAATTAAATTAAATTTTAAATAAATTTATAAAATTACCAACTAAGTTTGATTCAATTTAACCCATAAACACTTTAAAAAAATATAACTCATAATTGACATAATAATGAATAGGTAAGATTAAATTGCTAATTACTAATATTAAAAAACTCAAATTTTAAATTTTATCAACTCTTCGAGCCAAATAGCACTCCTCTGACGTCATTAATGTGAATAATTACAATTTTTAATTATTTGTGTTACAAATAAATAAAAGTATTTAATAGTACTCACATTTTACTAATAGAATTAGAGAATAACAAAAATTAATTTATGTTTATTATACTAAATCTTATTAAATTTTTGGCAAAGACCAGAAAAACTTATGGTAAGTGTCACGATTGTAAGTTACAACCTAACCTAATCATTGGATTCAAAAGATGAAAATTCTATGGACCTATTAAAAAATTTAAAAACGAATGGGAGACAACCACAAAAAAAAGAAAACTATGCCGCACAAAATGAAAAATTCCCTTTCTTGATTTCATCCTCAAATAAATATTCATTTACTCTTTTTTCAGACTTCTTCGTCTCTCCTCTTCCTCCTCCTCTCTCAAAAATCTCGTTTTTTTTATTTTTTATTTTCTCACAGCTTCTTCAAACCCTTCAAAATACTCTCATAAACCCCCTCTATTTCTCTTTCACAATATCTCTTCCACCGCACAACCTCCAAATTAAAACTACCCCTCGATTATCAATTTATTACGATCCGGCCCTACCCCGCCTTCCCTTCTCTCCGTCTTATTCTTTTTCTCTCTTCCAGAAATACCCCTCCATAGCGTCTTAAATTACCTCTCTCTCATTTCCACGCATAGCCGGATTCAATCCGGAATCAAAATGATAGCCCTGAAGACATCGCTCCTTCTATTCTTCTAGAATATTCCGTAAGCTTTTTTTGTTTCCTCACTAATATATCGTTTTTTGTTATTTTTTTTCTGCGAAACCTAGATAATTTTTTTTTTTCTAATTATTCGAATTGGATTTACACGGCATTTCTTTGTTTTAAACTGTGAAAATCCGTAGGTTTAGGTGCTCAATTTAATATATTTTTAGAAATTTTAGGATTAGGTTTTGCTTCCTTAGTTATTTTTCTTCATTCTCGACTAAAATTGGGCGCCAGATTTTCTTTAGGTGTGCAGTTTTAAGCAGTTTGGAGATTTTTATCGAACTTTTCAGCAAAAAAATGAGTTATCATGAAATTTTTGGGTCATTGAAAGTCGATTTTAAATTTTAATGTACAATTGCTGAATTGAATTATGGAGCAATGATTTTTTGAGTTGGAGCTGACTGTTATGTCCTAGGATTTAGTTTTTATTGGTGTGTGAATGATTGTAAGTTATTTTTACAATTGCGTGCTCTAGGTTGATTGCGGTTTATTATTTGGTTAAGTTGTTGTTTATTAACTTGTGGATATGCTTGATTTGGTATATGCTAATACGATAACATTGCAGCTTGTTGAGCGAAAATTAAGTTCCATAGATGTATTGTAACTATTTTCTGTAACATTAGCTCTGATATGAGCTTAAGGAGCATGACAACCGCATCGGTTTTTTAGATATTGTTTTTTGTTAAATGCATTTGGTTTAGTGTTTAGTCAGCATGTTCTTTGGTGTTTATGTTAGTATTGGTTTAAGGCATTTAAATAACTTGGTTTTATTGATCACAAGGTCTTCTTTGGAGTTTATGCTAGTCATATTTTGTAGAAAATACAACATGAAGATTGTTCTCTTAACTTAGTGATGAGATGCTTTTGATGGAGACCAAAGAGTATTATTAGATGTCAGATGTTCCAACTTTCCAAAGTCAAACTATAGTGACACAGCTGTGTTTGTGTTCTGTAACATCTGTTGATATATTTGAATCTGAAAACTGACTTCTAATATTGGATATGGGCCTGTGGCAACAACCCATCATAAAACTATGAAAATACAGTTTGTTTGCATTAAACGTAATCTTTCTTAATTGACTCTTGGTGTGACAAATGGAGTTATTGCAATGTTAGGAACCTCATTGAAAGGCATTGGAAATGATATCAACTTGTATGGAGGCTAGCTCACTGGCCTTGCTGCCCAAATTGGTTTATGGTTTTGGGACTGTGGGCTATATAAACTTTCATTTGGGCATGTGGTTGCTATAATAAGTGGATTAGAAATTGATCAAAAACAGATTAGTTGGCTTTAGGAACAAACACAATATCAAGCAAGACAATGGATTGATAAGTTGATGGATTAATAGCTGTACCATATTGTTATATCTGCTTGTTAAACCAGCATTTGGTGCAATGCATGTTTGTTTATATACAGGGGCTTATTTGCATTACCACTTAATCTCTTGCTTGAGTCCTTTGTAGTTCTAGTTATAATGGTTGTATTGTACTTTATGTTCTGTTGCCTGCGATGCTATGGATTACTACATTTTTATTTCTTTTGAATGTTAATATGTGTCTTTTACCCTCAAGCACTCTGATGTAAATGTGCTTATGATCTGCAAATTTAATTTTCTTTTTGCATAAATTGCTTTCTTCCATACTGTTTTATGTTGGTATTACCTACCTTAATTCTTTCCCCTATTCTTAGGTTTTCCTTTCAAAGTGCTCGTCAAGTTATTTGACTGCTACATTTGGTTAGGGTTTGGAACTTTGCATGCTGTATAATAACTCAGATTTATTAGTTATTTCAAGGGGATCCAATGGAGCTGAAAGCTTCATCACCTAATCTTGGTGGTCTTTCTCCTCCTGATTGCGTTAGTGATCCTGAGGAGAAGGAAGTCAGTGATGAGGACGATGATGATCGCAACCATAAGCATCGTAGGCGGGAGACATGCTCTCAATCATTAGAGAGAGATTCTATGGATCCAGTTTTTACAAGGCCTTGCAGAAAGCGCAATAAACCGTTTGAAAATGGGCATCCTTTCCGAGAAAATGAATCTCAAGCAGATGAAACCTGGAAAAATTATAACAGTTTGCCTCTAGAAAAAGACTTGACATCTAAGTTTGATAGAAGACGCCTTGGATTAGCGTCATTTCCCCGGGGACATTTGGATCTGAACCAGAGAATTAGGTCCAACCAAACATTTAGTGGAGATTCTGGTCCTGGTAGGGGAAGAGGAAGGGACAACTCTTCATGGAATCAACGTGATTCTAGGTTCAACTCAGTTGGTGTTGCTTCTCAAATGGTTCAGCCAGGATCTGTTGTTCCAAGTCTCTTTGCAGGAAGGGGATTGCCAAATGTTTCAAATGCACAAAGTCCATCATGGAGTGCCTTTGGGCTTATGGCGGGAATACCAAATGGTGGCCTAGAATCACTCCATCCTATTGGTTTACAAGGGGCGCTTAGGCCACCGATGAATTCATTGAATTTGGGCATTCCTCACCAACGTTGTAGAGACTTTGAGGAGCGTGGATTTTGTCTAAGAGGAGACATGTGCCCTATGGAGCATGGTGTCAATCGTATTGTTGTTGAAGATGTTCAGGTATGCATTTTGCTAACATCTATCTTGATTCTGCATGTGGTGGCTTATACAGTTTTCCATGAGCCTCTACAAAATTGATAAAAAAAATCATGTCATGCGGCAATGTGATTTCAGTAAGGACCAGCCAAGGAGGTTTCCATATTTATCCTTTTTTTAAACCTGGTTACCAACAAAGAGTATTGGATGAATAATTTGCAAAATGTTTTTGAGTGTTAATATTTCCTTTTTAACACCTTTTAAATGCTTGTTGGTAAAGTACCTGTATTAATGCTGCACTATCAACAGTGCGGGGTTTCATTTATTTTAGCTTTGAACTCTTTTGACTGAGCCTTCCTGTATGTTTTATTTTAAATATTCTAATTCTGCACAATGTTCTCTTGTTACTTTCTAATATTTTTGAATGACACCTAGTAACTGTTGTATTTGCTGTCATCCTATTTTTCCCCTCAAAGTTTTCCTTCTACTTTTTCTGATCTCCTGTTTACTTTTCAACCCCTTAACCAATAAAAGTAACAGGCATACCAGATAGATTACATGCTTCTACTCTTTCTGCTAGATTAGCTTCCATCACTCTTGGTCTTTAAGTATCTTCTTGAAGGGAAGCCCCTGTTAGTACGGTGGGTTTACTTGCACAAATCAAGAAATTTTATGCTTATAGATCAATTTTCTGCTTTAAGCATTGATTGAATGTACTGCATTAATAGAGATCTCTGCAATTAGACTTTTCTAATATCATAGCTATTTGCTGCACTATCTATATTGACTGGAGTGGCTTATTTTCCACTTTATAGCATCATCTAACTGATCATCTCATTCAAAATGTATACACTGTTCTGAAATCCAAATTGCCTTGGTGGGAAAGTACCTTCCTTGGCTTTGAGTCTTTATTATCAGCTTGAAACAGATAGCATTACCCATCTCTTCAACTCACCAGTAACTTGTTTTCTGATTTGCAGAGTTTGTCACAGTTTAACCTTCCTGTTACTGTTCCAAGTGCACTACTGGCAACACCTGCTGCACCTGGATCATTACCTTCAGGTGTTCCTCCTTCAACCAATTTGCTGAACAACAAGGGTATACATAGCAAAAGTAGCAAGCCTGGAATGACTGATGATGCCTTAGGTTTGAATGGTGCGTATACTGGTTCTACTAGTGCAAGTGGTGCTGATTTATATGATCCTGATCAACCCTTGTGGAATAACAATGGTCCTGAAGCATCAGCTGCAATCTCAGGACTGCATTCACCCAAGATTGATGAAACGAAAACCTTGCTAAACGATGATCTATCTGATCGTCATCATGGCAGGTTGTGTGATAGTGCTGATAATGAATTGCCAATTAGAAGCACGGGGTTACAGAGCACAAGTTTGTCTGTTTGGGGTAGAATTGGTAGCTCAAGAAGTAAAATAGACACAAAAGAGAAAATTGATCTCACACCCTCAGACTATCTTGAGAATGAAGCCAAGGAAGAACAAGAAGCATTTCCCAGCTCTCAAGGCACTTCTTGTCAGGTAAAGCGGACCGGCATTAAGGATGATGGCTCCAAAGTTATGGATTCATCATTCAAGTCAGAAACTGATGGTATGTGTAATAGCAGAAAACCGAATCAAAAGGCACTTCGTACACTGTTTGTCAATGGGATTCCCCAGAAAAGCAACAAAAGAGAGGCTCTTCTTTCTCATTTTCATAAGTTTGGAGAGGTTATTGACATTTATATTCCATTAAATAGTGAACGGGCCTTCGTCCAGTTTTCAAGGAGGGAAGAGGCTGAAGCTGCTCTGAAGGCACCTGATGCTGTAATGGGTAACCGCTTTATTAAGCTCTGGTGGGCTAATCGGGATAGCATTCCTGATGATGGCATAAACAGTGGCAATGGTGTATCTGTAACTCAACGAGGTCTAACTGCTTCTCTTGTTCCAGCTCAGCCTGCCTCTAACAAAGGAAAGGATAGTCTTCAATCTAAGAGCAATGTTGTCCATGGTGCTGATGTGCCTTCTCTGTCCCCTAAGCCTGTTAGCATGAATGGTCCCAAGATTCCACCTCCATTGCAAAAAAAGCTAGAGACACTGGAGCAGATGAAAGAGGAACTACGCAAGAAGCAGGAAATGCTGGAACAGAAGCGGAATGACTTCCGGCGCCAGTTGGACAAACTTGAGAAACAAGTACTCGGGACTTTCTTTAATTTAATATACTATATTCCTAGATATCTGCTTCTTGAGTAATTTGCATGTTTTGATAGTATATTTGAATAAACTAGAATGCTGTAGTTAAGTGATTTGAAAAACTTCACTGGTAGCCATTGGGTGTTGTCAAACATGTGTGCCTTTTGTTTTCTAATAGTTTGACTACATACAAATGCTGACATGAGTTGAGAGATTGATGAATCGGAACATAATTTTAAATGTGGGATATTATTCCTTAATGTAGGCAGGTTTAACATTTGTTTGTTTCAACCTTTTGCAGTCTAGTGGTCCCAAGGGTGATCTACTGACTGAGCAAGCTTCTAAGAGGCAAAAGGTGGGAACCATAGCTGATCCTGCAAAAGTGTCAACACCAAGTTCCTCTGAACCCGGTGCTTCTGGAGCAACACTGTGCACTATAGGGATGACAGATAAGAGCAAATCAATGGAGAATGCTGTGTCTCACAGTCCAAAGTCAAATACCCCCATACCGTTGCAGGAATCTATGAGCTCAAAGCAGCAGTCTCATCCTTCAGCGCCTGTAGGGCATCCATTCCCGACAAATAAATACAATTTGGACAACCGACCTACTGCTTTTAGAGTTACCCCACCATTGCCTTCTGGTTTTGCAGATGTGAGTCAATCTCTCCTTATCCTCTGAGAAAATTGTATTTGCTTCATCATTTATGAGGATAAGTTTTACCTTGATTCTCCAATTGCATTTTGAAAATGAAAAGATAAAAAGAAGCACATTTCATAAACAATGGGCCTTCTTAGTATGTCTAGATATTTGTTATGATGAATTATTCCAAAGGTGAAAGGCGGAAGGCATAGCCTAAGGCATGTGATCATGAATGGTGAGCTTTATGTTCTTGCCCATAAAATGAGTATAATCAAATGTTTTTAATATTTTTGTGCTGTTTACATGATTATTAATAACTGAATTATGCTTTGTTTCTTTTTATTTTTTCAAGGAAAAAAAAACCTCTGAATATTTTAATCGCTTGGGCATATTGTAGGAGTATGACTTCTTTATTGGGGGGCTGGTGTTCTTAGCCCCCTCAACTTACCTAAAATTCTAGGCACAAGTCATTCCCCTCGATCTAAATGAAAAACGTCTTCACTTAATGGCATAAACTCAGTTGGCTTTTATGTTTTTCTTTGTTGTCAATGAGAGGTAACTGAAATCCGTCTGCAATTAGGTTGATATTTTGAAGGAGCACTTCCTACAATACGGTGATCTATTTTCTGTGGAGCTAGAAGATGTGCAAAACGATGATGATATGGGATCAGGGGCATTGAAGAATTGCTCAGTCATTATAACTTACATCACGCGTCGCTCAGCAGAGAGGGCATATGTAAATGGTAAATGCTGGAAAAGCTATAATTTGCAGTTTACATGGCTGACATCTAGCAATTCTAACAGTGACCCTAGTAGCAAAGAAACTTCATCTTCCACACCAAAGGGGCCTTTAGAAGCTGATGTCCAGGCGACAGAAGAAAAATTAGCATGTAGCGTCTCTCAGGAAATTGGTTCTTCAAGCAATGGGGAATCTTCAGAAAGAGAGAGTTTTGTCGACCGTGTGGAATTGCCTGAAGTTTCAGAGCATAGTCCATCCCCAACGTCTAGTGTGAAAGAATCACCTAAAGGCGGCACATGTTGAGGATGGGGCCTGTTCTTGGATTTGTACAGTGAGGTAAAATGTTTCAATCTAATTTTCAGGAGTCCTGCATTTTCAGTTACTGAAATTTCATTTTCCGGTATATCTTATTTCATGCATTGGATATGTAAAAAAAAATGGATTTTTTTTTTGTTTTTATCTTTTAATTGCCACCAAAAGGATGACAGCTACTTGAGTGGCAAATTGTATCGTCCTTTGAAATTAGTTTTGTAGGACTAAAAGAGGATTAAAGTAAAGTTTACGTTGAGATTACTTAAAATTTTTTAAGAAAAAATCTTTCGGAACTGATTCCAATTTCGGTTTTACCTTATCTAGCAGAGTTTTTATTCTTGAAAATTCACATGTTATTCTGCACTGCAACTGATTATTACTCTTTCTTACCACAAGGAAGCTCTTTTGTTTTTCTCATGGTATGAATTGAGCATTCCATGGGGAATTAGGCTTCAAGTTGTTAATTATTCTTATTACTGTTATTATTATTATTTACAAATTCAAAAAAAAAATTATTATTTACTACATAGAATAGAAGAGAAAGGTGCTGAACTAAAAAATGTACATTAATGGAAAAGGATCGGAAACGCTGAAAATATTTCCATGATTAGAAAATATGAGTTGGATTTAACCAGGTCTGTTGCGTTTGCAGGAAAGCTCCGACCAGATGAAAAAGACCAATCTTCATCGGCCGGATGGGCCATCTAGGCTCATAATACAGCCCATTTAGACCGAATGGCCCAACCTTTTAAGTCAGTTCTCGTGATGGAAGGCAAATCTTTTAGGCCCGTATAGGCTCAATGGCCCAATAAAGGCCCAACTTTTTAGCCCTGAAGGCAAATCTTTTCGGCCTTTCATGGGCTTCATGGCCCAAATAGGGCCCAACTTGTTGGCCTGGAAGGTTAATCTTTTAAGCCTTTATGGGCTCAATGGCCCACTACAGGCCCAACTCTCTGGTCTCTTAATGTTAACTATGATTCATTAGGCCCAATGTTTTGGACCTGATGGACCACTAAAGGCCCAACCTTTTCGGGATATACGTGTTCTGGATTGCTCGTCAAAGGCCCAAAGGCCCAATACTTTCGGCTCAGGTCTTATAAATATGACCCATTTTAATTTATTCATGGACCATTTTCTGAAACCTATTTAGGCCTTCAGAATGGGTCTGTTCAGGCCTGCTATCTTGTACCGTTTAGGCCGAGTAGGGAGAGATTATTGAGGCCCAATTCTAATATTATTATAGTATTAAATTATCTTTCCCACGGACGACCTCTCTCAATCTAGGATTGGATGACAACTGGCCATCAGAATGATGCTCAAAATCAGTTGACCAAGACCAGCTTCATATTTTTGAATGAGCCCGTATTTGGTACAGAGAAATCCAACATTGGTTGGACCTAGAGCTCGGCTCGATATTTTTTTAGAATTAAACATTTCTTGGGTTGGTGGCTTACCCGTCAATCTAGCTTGGCCCATTTTAGACCCAAATTCCACCCATTTAAATGAGAATCTTTGGGCATATGGGCAAAACTGGGATATTAAATATTACTCATAATATATATACACATATATATGGAGAAAAAGTGAGCGATAGAAACTCATATCATACAACAAGATCAAATAAGCTTCTGCATATTTCAAATTGATTTTTATGGGTATTTTTCTCCTCACTCCAATGGCAGTACCTCAAATCACCAGCAGCATGTTTGCGAGTCTAAGCTGCTTCTCCAGTGGCAAATAATCTTTCAAAGAAACACAAGTATGATGCATCACACGCAACAGAATCGGAGCCATATCATTTTCACTGTCGTCAATAGGTTGTGAGCTGGGTGTATCATCACCCGATGATAATTTTATAGCCCAACTGTAAATTCGTTCTGTCGAGGTCAAAAGATAAGAGGTAAAGGTTTCTGCAATGACTTCCCAATTGGGGTCTGAGAGAAGAGAAGTAAGGGTAACGGGCAGATCATTCAGAACAGACGATCGATCAAGAATAAGAAGAGGCATATATTTACAGCAGCTACCAGATAGAAGACCAAGAAACTGCAGTGCCTGCAAGAGGATAAAGGAGAACTTTAATTAGCACAAATTATATGATTAAAAAATAAAAAGCATTAGGGTTAAACAAATTGAAGCATTGGCTAAAATGGCAAGCCACCAAAATCAAACAAATACTCGTATTCCAAATTCACAGTAGTGGAAATATGATTTAGCGAGCACATATGAGCATGGCGGAGAGGGAGAGCAGACCAGGTTAACTTTATCTGAAGATAAGTGCCTACCGTGGTAGGATAACTCGAAACACAACTGATTTCCACCGCATCAACCAGCCATTGTCTTTTAACATTTCCTTCTGAATGTTGCAAAGTTGCTACAACTTCAAGAAGCACACCCCAGGTGCCTGAATACAAAATGTTATAAATTCGTCAGAATAACAATCTTCAAGCTGTAGATAAAAGAAAAAAAAAATGAAAAGCACCAAAGCAAACCCCCTTTTCAACATTGTGACAACAAACAAATATTTACAACTTCTTTTTGGAGGCTTGTTCACACTTCATATCTGCATAAATTTCATATTTATATAAAAGAACACTAACCAAGTGATTCTGAATTCAATAAATAAGATTTTATTTTTCCCAGCTCGATCAGTGGAATGGAACCGATCCTAACTAGCTTGGCTTTAGCTTGAATCTTTCTTAGCACTTCTACAAACTGGATATCTCTTTGTACTGAATGCAAATGTGAAACCTGTGATGAGCAAATGGTTAAGAGATCAAAAAGAGTGTAAATTGGAGAATGGAATGGCAATTAATTTGCAAGGAATTAACTCCAAGAAAACCTTTGCTTCAATAAAATAATACAGACGGACAAAAGAAATGTGCATACCTGCAGAAAATCTAATAACCAGCCCTGCCGACCCTTTGCCAAGCATCTAACTGCCTCAGACCACTCAACCGAATTCAACTGATTCACTTCCATAAAAGCAGGAGATTGAGGTGTGGGTAACAAAGAAAAAAGCATTTCCATGCACCTTTCAATATTTTTAATGTATTCTACAGTGTCAAGAGATGCTTCATCCAGACACTGATAGAGACCCTTCCAGCAAGAAATTCGTAATGAACTTTTCTGCTCCGAATCATGTACTTGGTCTGATGTAACTGAAGACAAGTAATTACTCACATCATCCAATAATTTCTCCAGCCTTGAACCTGAGAATAATTTTATCAGGTCAGCCAGATGACTGAGCAGACAAGATTGGAGATTTAGCTCAAGTGTCCTGAATCTAGAAAGGTCAGATAGCTCATCAAGGAATGTTAGGAGAGTATCAAATTGCTTTGCATGGACCAAGGCAAACTGCAAGCATTCCTCCCTTAGGCTTCCTTCCTTACAGGCTATATCTGATGCCAGCAACCCAGTGACTTGAGCTTCATATCTCATACAGCGTCTAACAATCGCACCCCAATCCAAGGTTGGTAACCTGGGAGCTAGTGATAGGCACCTTAAAATAGTGGCTACTGTGCATATATGCATGCTGGTACCTGTCTGAACTTATTGGAGCAAGAATTTATAAACAAAAATTAACAAACTAGAAGTGAAGTAGATTAGGGAAAATAAATAAAAAGCTCACTCCATTAATTAAGGTATGGCGCGGGCTTTCCTAGCTACTTGGAATAAAGGCATAAGAATATCTAATCAACAAAGGCATCCATGGACATCTTAGCCCAGAAAAATAAAATTCCAGTTACCATCAATCAAAACATATATTATGAGGAAACTTACCACAGTGTGATTAAAAGATTTAAGCCACAGACCAAGCTTCATGACAGCACTGTCCTCAGGAACACCTTGTGAAACAGATTTTGAGCCTACAGATTCAGTTTGTGTACCATTAGCACTATTTAATATTTCTCTGGACCAGAGTTGATATCGAAGAAATGAAACTGCCCACGCTGCATTTTGTTCCAGTTGTTGGTTATCAGAATTTTGTGCAATAAGAAAAATCTCTTGCATCAATGATGTTGAGTGCTCTTCACAAACAGGATTCGCAAGTATGGGACCCGAAATATAAGAATGTTCCTGCTGACAAAGTATGTGAGTACAAAATAACCAACATAAGGTAGCTCACATGAACGTCACATAAACAGAATAACACAACTACCTTTTGATCATAACCAGTATGAACAGAGGAGTTTAAAGGATGAAAATCAACTAAATTTCCAGCACCTGCCCCCAAAGCATTAACAACTCCAAACATCCCACCTAAATGGATAATAGGAGGGTAAGGACTAGAGTAACATTTTCTAAACAATTCAAGCAAGCGTTTTACACGTTCCACTTCAACAAAGTGCACGCCTTCACTTAATATGCATGCTAATAGGCTTCCAGCTCCAGCGGTTGATGCCATTAACAAACTCTTGTGAAAGGTGCCAGATTTATTAACAGACAATAACTCAGAAATGAGCTCCATGTAGCCATTGACTAGATGGTCCAGTTCATTATGATCTACCATTTCCACTCTTTGGCAAAAAGCCACCACAAAGGGTAGTGCAAGACAGGATCCTACTGATAAAAGCATCTCAGATTTTTCACTGCTTGAACCAAAATTTTGTACCAAGGAATTCATATGAGGAATCCACGATATGATCAACTCTTTCACCTTGAGCACAGCATCATATGCGCCAGCTCTATATATTGCACTAATAGAGCTCCCCAAACCAATGACAAGACCAGATATGCCCCATATATCATCCTCCAAGTCATCACAATTACCATCTAACAACTCAGAAGTTATACTAGTAACTATATCATCTCTGCTGGCTGGAAAATGTGCAGAGAGACTTTCTAGAGCATTGGCTGAAAAGTCGGCAACTGGACATAACATTTGAGATAATGTTCTAACTATTCTACCTAACAATCTCTCTTCCTGCATCTTGGGGTTTTCTTCATTGGCATTAGAGTCATCTGTAGCTTCAACTCTTGAAAGAAGATCTTGGCAGGAAAATCCCAAGCCAATTCCACATGCTCCTTTTACAAGGCAGCTTTTGCTACAGCACAAAACCTGAAACCAAGCAATTCCAGTAAAATAAACAGCTAATAATTCCATAAATATTTTTCAAGACACGTCAAGTTATCCCTTTAACTAATGATTACAACTACAAAAATTGTTCCGAAGTTCCTCCGCCTAATACATACACTATGAAATTCACAATTCCGTCATTGAACATTTTATTCCTTTTCACTCTTCTAAAACAAGGAATGTCCTAATAGCGTGATCTACAAAAAAAACTCAGCAAAGAGAGGAAAAAAAAGGATATGAATGGTAAGAATGGAATGGTTCTACAGAAATAGAAATCCCTGTAACCAAAATCTCTCTCTCTCTCTCTCTCTCTCTCTATATATATATATATATATATAGAGAGAGAGAGAGAGAGAGAGATCAAGCTCTGAGAGGAACTTGATAAAGATCAAGCTCTGAGAATGAATCAAACATCTCTCTTAGCATGTGGAAATGATAAGCATTATGTAAGAAAACAAAATTGAATGAAAGTGTCACATCCATAGTTCACACTCAACTTTTAATAACTAAAGCAGATGAGATAACACTGTTCTTAAACCATATTAGTAACTAATAATGAATAGTTCCAAAATGATCTGGTCTCTACCCTTCTTTAGTGACAGTACTTCGAACCTATAATTAGCAATTAGCACGCAGCCAAGTTGCAAATTTCCACAGACAAGAAAACCCTTGGGGAATGAGATTAAAACACCAGTTATACCATGCTCACTTCCAATATTCAGATTCTTTTGATAAAAAAACTTGCTTTTTAACTTCTTACCGCTTCCTCACGTTCTATAATAAGTTGACTGTACCATATGATAACAAGACGAATTTAAATTCTTTTATCATGAATCATATTTTCAATGCCCAATGTACGGAAGAAGGCGGACAATGTCAAAGCCAGTATCAAAGAGACTACCTCAAGAAGTCCACTAATGTTCTGAAATTTCTGCTTATGATCTGTCACATGTAAGGAACTTGAGACCAATCCAAGAGACATGGCAGCTGACCATTGGCAATGTTCATGTTCATACTGAAACAACCAACCCAACAGAAACTTTGAAGCAGTTGATTTAATGGTATGGGCAGATGGTGGCAAGACCTAACAATAGCAAGAAAAAACGGAACATCAGGAGGAATCAATTGTAATTTGTAGGAGAGTAACTTAATCCTTGTCATCTATCTCCACAGTCAAGGAAAATTTTAGCATGGCATCTAATAAGTCTATAGGTGAAGTTAGCATCACTTTGAAATCTCACCGCACAAAGTGCACCAATTGCCAATGCAATATTTTCAGCAGACCTTGGGATAGATTCTTCTGCAACTCGCATCATGCTCTTCATCATAAAATTAGGGACAAACAAGTATCACTTTTGTTAAATACATTCTTTTGAAAGAGGCATAAGAAAATGACTGAAATACAACACAAAACAGCAAGGGCAGAAAGGCAGTTGCAAACCTTCAGAATATCACTAGCAGCTTTAGAAGTTTTATCTGAAACAATAACCAAGACTTTAGCATCAATGGACAAGATATTAGCCCTCATCCAACGTCGCACAAAGGCTTTCCATGATTGCAGTGAAAGAAGTGCAACAAAAATGTTTCTTGACAGTTGAAGAGATGCAGCTATTTGCACCATCATATCTTCATATCCAGAATGGGAATCTTGCAACCCCTAAAACCTTGAGAATGTCAGACTTAACAAGCATGGTAAATTCTAATGGAAAGAAGCTGACAATTCAGATTATCCTACTCTTGCTGTGCCTTGGCTTCTCAAATTGTTAGAAGTAAAGGAACCAGATAATAAGGCTGCACCAGGTAGCTCTCCATCATTACTTACTTTTCCTGCAAATGAATTGGTTATAAAAATGGCTACACCAGTGAATAAGTGCACCTTACAACTAAGAACCCTAACTATCAATACACAAAGACCAACATGCATTGCTCTGCTAAATGATTAAATTTATTGAATGAAATAAATCACTTCCAGCAACATGGGTTTTGGTTTTAGAGAAGAATATGTTGCCAAATTTCAATGCAAGAGTTGAAATATTTTTAACTGTTTTGCAGATGGAGTAACTTTAACTAATTAAGTTCTAATGGACTCACTTGTCATCAGATATATCATAAGAGTGAGGGGGCAAATAATAAGATTTTGGTTCGCAAACCAATCTTTTTCCAAGAACCAAAACTTCTCTAAGAAGGTAGAACAACCAATCTCGCCGTACCTGAAGAGAAGATAACCCGTGGAAAGACATCCAACAGCTTCTCAATCTTACTTGCTGGAACCTTTTTCTCCTTTACAAATCTTTGCCGGTTGCTGGAGAAAGTCGATAGAAAATTATGAGCACAGGAATCAGGACAACTTTCTTGAGCAAGTGAAGCACAGAGATGAGCATGTTCAACCATAGCTATTTCATTACCTATGCTCATGTCCTATAATTTTGATTTGAAGTCCTTCCAAAGCCTTAAGTACATCTGGATTTGTCTCAGAAAGAAGCAGATCCATGACCATATGCTTAAAATTTGAAATATTATTCACACTACTTGGTATCTGGAAAAACACTGATTAATTTAGAGGAGATTCTTGTGTGAGTATCTCAAAAATATAATACACTAGAGAAAAACAGCACAAAAACAACAGAGACAGACAGACAGACAGACAGAAAAGCGTAAGACAAAAAAGGTTCCAGTCACTAAAACCTCATATTTGGTTAAGGCCTCGAATGCAGAGGCCTTTGCCTTTGCCCATTGTAAATTATGACCTATCTGTAAGGAGCACCCAACACCCCATACAATCTTCAATACTTCCCTTGAGGCTTCTGGATATGCATCAGCATCCATTGCACCCCATCTTAAAAGAAGGCAGACACTGCCAATAAGCAAATATTAGTGGAGTAGATTTTGAAATATTTTAAATCCAAAGAGGGAATTACAATTTATCTAATTAGTATGTAAATCTTACATAGTATTGTACAAAGAGAATACTGTGAAGCACACAAAATATGCATCAGAATTGACTGTCATATATGCTAGGACCCAAGATAACTTCAGCATTTCAAGGAAGGAGTGACATATTTCCAGAAGAAATCTAGAATTGTTGGCATCATTATGTAAATTTTCATCACGACAAACCAGGAGTTATCTAAGTACCATTTTCCCTTCTTTTTTTTTTTTTTATTCTTACACAAGTTTGGCATAAATCGACCTGCTCTTATGACTTGGAACAGCATTTTGCAATCTTTAGCCCCAGACTTATGCTACTGCATCATTCAATTATATTCAATGCTATTCCTCAGCTTGAAAATAATGTGCAGACTGCATTAGGCTATGCTGTGCTGGTTATTTTAAGGTCAAATTATGAAATTAGTCCCTGTAATATGGCAAAAACGAAAATTTAGTCCTTGTACAATAATTTGAACAAATTAAGTCACTCTACTTTTCTGGATTTGAAATTTCAGTCCAAAATGTAACAAAATTAACATTCCATCACTAAGTTGCTAATGTGGATTTTTTTACCACATATTTTTAGGCATAAAAGTTTCACATCAAAAGCCCATGCAGCCAAAAAAAATCCACATCAGCAACTTAATGGGGGGATATTAACTCTGTTAGAATTTGGACTGAAATTTCAAATACGAAAAATAGAGTGACTTGATTTGTTCAAATTTTTGTACAGGGATTAAATCCTGATTCCGGCCAGACCACAGGACTAATTTCATAATTTGACCTTATTTAAAACTCAAGCCTTGCCTAACCCCTCCTACCAATGATCAGGAAATTGGTCTGTCAGTTAATACCAAGACATCTTTACCTATAGGCAAGAACTGGGTCCTCGTGATAGCCTTCCACATACTTTGCAATAACATCCCATGCAGTATAAAAATCTGAATGGATAAAATAAATAGAATAGACATTCAGAATACCTCACATAATAAGATTACAAGGAAAAAAAGGAAAACACAAGATATGCAGTTGATTCAAGAAATTAATTTGAACATAACATTGTTAATGAGCCAAACAATTAATTAAGTAAAACAAGAAACTAGAAATTATAATTTGTTAGCATCAATTATAGCATCATAGAATTAAGGACATTTACAAATAATTACTCAGCAACAATCATAGCATTATAGCGATAGCATTGAATTCTTGCAAGTAATTAGTTGGCATCAATCGTAGCACTGTAGCATCATAGCATTGAATTATTGCAAATAATTACTCAGGCTAGAATCTTCTCTATAGCGTTCAATAACTCTAGCAAATTGACACATGAAAGCTAAAACCGTTCTTTTAAGCCAGGCCAGCAGAAGGAGAGATGTTACGACTATGTGTAGTCAAATACATATATACTAGATATAGATCTTACAGTGAATTTTTCAACTGAAAATAAAGAACTTAAAATATTTAATCCTCTAATAAACACTGGAAAACGAAAAAAATGCATCTTCAAGTTTGAAAATCAAGATTACCAATCACATCAGCTTCACAAAGGTAGGAAAGACTTTGAAAACCAAGAGCTTGAATTGTGGGATCTGGACTCTCAATGCAAGCCTGATAATTTGAGGAAAATATTAGGGCTCTAAGAACAAGGTGCAAAAGAATGATAAAACAGAAACAGCTCTAGAGAAATTCATACCGAAACAGACAAGATAAGGTCCACGCCTCTATCAGGGTTCTTTCTGCAAACATCCCGAATGGAAATGGCCATACTTATACAGATATTTCTCTCAGACATAAATTCAATGAACCCTTTTGGAAGTAATACTCCCTATACGCCGAGGGCAAACAAATAAGAATTAAAAGACAGCATATACATCAGCCAGAGGAACTAGGGGCAAGGGCCGGAACAACAGTCAATCACCCTAATGCAGGTGTCCAATAATCAACAGGCAAAGCAATGAACATGAACATGTAAACTCTATTTTTGGCTGATGAACATGCTAAAAGCATTTCCAATTGAACTTGTATGAAAACAAATACGCAAAATTTTCTAAATGTCACAACTATCAGGCCCATGCATTCAGCAGGCCCTAGAGCAAGAGTCGATTCTCTTAAAATCAAAAGTTGAAACAAGATGTTAAATTTTGGACATACAGGTAAGCATGCTATAAAGGTCAAATACTAGATTATACTGGCAGGGCCCATCCAACTAGAAACCAAGTTATTTAAAAAGCAAGAGCAATAGTGCTCTGCCATAGGCCTGGTTAGACAAATGCTTGGAAAATTGCAACCTCAGTCTACAAGACTAGACCATTCAGGGTTAAATTCAATTTTATCAGCAGTTGCAAATGTCCAAAACACAAATGAGCAGTGTCCTCCAGATAGAGTTAATTTGCAAATTGAGAAGTTGAAAACATCTCAGCAGTAAATTACCACAATCTTTTTTCTTGTTTTTACCCAAAAAAAAAAAAAAAAACTAATAGCCACACTGATGTACATGAACAGATATAAATGTACGTACATATATTAGAAAAAATAAAATGTACATAGAAACACTAAAAGGCTAAATAGCATGAGGCAATAAGGGAAGAAATGCTACAGTGCTTACTTGCAAACTTCCAAAGGCACGGTCATTGATCTCCCAGGTTTGACAAAGCAAGCGAGTAGCTGTGGCATACAACACTCTGAATAGGAAATAAGTATAAGCTGAGACAGGCTAAAGAAGATTCTTCATGGCAAATGAACAGTTTAATAACTCATCAGAAAACAGCATTGAATCACAAAAATAGAGCTTAATTCATCAAGATGCAAGCAAATGAGTACCAAAAATTCTCAATTAAAATCGGGTTCTTATTGTTTCTCAGAATAAAACTTCTCATAAAATATAAACAGCCACCCTCCTAAGAACACCTAAAAACAGTCATAAAAGTTGGAAAGAGGATATAATTTCTGTGCTGCAATTACTAATATATCATGTAATGGTGTTATAAGCATGGCATACTATAATGACCTTCAGGTCATGGTACAAAAGCTTTGGCCGCAAGATAATGAAGAATGATTATCTAAAGAGCACTTACGGCTTTGCATCCTTGCGCAGCATTGGCAAGAAAGTTTGAACGACAAGTGGAATCATCCCAGACTGTGATGCAAGTGATGGAAGCATTCCCAAAAGCTTTGGCTGCAAAATTTTATTATGAAAAAAGAAAGGAAACAGATGAAAGAAATCATAGGAGGGGGCTCTAATGCCTTGCATTAATGGCACAAGATGAGTTCACACAGTGTTTGGGGAAGTCAGTAGGAATTCTCACCACCATATTCTGGTAGACAACATCTTTTCTGGTGAATATGTTATTATAAAATAGAATGGCTAGCAACAAAGGAACACCCAGTTTTGGATCCATAATTCCAATAGAAGCCAAAGCATCTATAGCAGCACTCCCATGCGATGGATGCATCACCAAAACAGAAGCAATTGCTCCAAGTAGCAAGGGCATTTCTACAAAGACAGATAATACAAACATGAAATAAAGATTTTATCCTTTAAAGCAAATACACTGGATACTTTCATCATCACAAACTAAGGACAATGAAAATTTATAAGCATCTTACCAGTCAGAAAAATTTCGTGAGATCTTGGCACAGGTAGACCTGATTTTCTTCTCTCAACAATCCATAAAGCAAGCTCTTTTAGGTGATAAGCCCAAGATCTTGGTCCACCATGCAGTTCTTCAACATCAGTTTCACGAACAGAAGTGAAACATATAAAAAAAGAACTGGACAATGAAAATTGATCCTGAAAAACAAAAAATACATAGCATGATTCTTCGATCACCTTTTGCTTCCAATAGTAACAGTATTGTTTTCTTACATCATTAAGATGAGTATCCTATAAAAACTGAAAAAACAAATAAATAAGTATTTTCAGTAAATGGTAAGTTTATTTTGGCTATGATCTTCAACACCAGCAACAAAAAACTAATATTTAATTGAAAACATAGACCGCAAACAAACACTTTAATTCTTCCATTCAACATTATCACCAAAAGAAATATAGAATTTTTAAACTTGAGATCACAAGAACACACCTGAAACCATAAATGTTGCAAAAGCCTGTAAGCTATCAGTTCAGGTCTGCTAATAGATGGATAGCCCCTCTTCTTGGCTAGCTCAATCTTTGGAGTCGTCAATAACTTTACTAAAAGCCTTTCTAAAAGGACAAGCAAATCATTTGCTGCTCCCTTAACTGATTTAGAGGGAGATGAAATGAGGTTGATGATGGGAAATATAACTAAAAGCTCTTCACTAAGTAAATATTCAGCTCCATCAACGACATATTCTACAAAAGTGAGTGCAAGAGTATATTATAAGTGCTATAGAGTCCAGGAATTCAACCCAAAAATAAATAAATAAATGACAAAAGGTCATCCAGCATTCCTCTCACTGTCCACATGCACAAGCATAAGTTAAAGAGAGCGTATATGTCGATTTGCAAAGCATAGCACAAACCAGGATATAGTTAATGGTCAATATATATATATATATATATATATATTTAAGCAGCAAAATATTATAAACCAGAGGTCTAAATTAAACTGAGATACCAAGATAGCTAATAAATTTGAGCAGTTGTCACATATAAATGTATCAATATTTTACACAATTCTTTGGCATGGATTCATAATCAAGTAAAAATTAAGTTAGAAATTTAGAAATACAGAAATAAAAGTTTAGACTACATCAGAAATTCAGTATACAGCAAACAATTTCTGAAGATATAACTAACAGCCCATCAAGAGATAGAATCAACATAGCAATGTTGAAATTGCTTACCAGTTTCACCTTTCCACTTCAAGAGAAAGTGGAGAAATTTCAATATTGAGAGCTGTTCATGTTCAAGCTCAGATTCAATGAGTAAAACAGATAAGGATAGTATTACTGATGATAGTTCCGGTATGTATTGCAGTGCAAGATCTTTCTGGGCAGCCAACATGTGCTTTAATAACTCAACTATAGGCTCAGTCCCACCGGACTGCTTGTAAGGAGATGTATGGAGTGAAAGCACATTCTCTATTAACTCCACCCCATATAATTGAGCTTCAGTAATCAACTGCTAACATGGACCAAAAACAAATAATATGGAATGATAAAAGGCAACAAAAGCAAACCAGTGGCATCATTTAAAAAATGTCAAGTTCCATTTAAAAACATAAGAGTCAGCATGACAAGTGAAGTTTCTAAAACTTACCAATCCTTTTCCAACCAATTGCCTCAAAACCACCACAAACGAGTCAACCACACATTCAGCTACATAACTAAAATTCCTGGTCTCCTGAAAAGTTTCAAATATGTAGAACCTAATAAAAACGCACCTTCAAAGAGACCATAAATTCCAAACTTAAAAGAGAAATAAATTTAGAAATCATAACAAGTTGAATTTACTTAAGCAAAACCCACATTCAACATGACATGAACTTTTTAATCTGAAAATTAATCAACAAAACTCAGCTAGGAAACAAATTAACAGGCCATTTATATATTTATTTTTCATATTTGCTTTCTGCTTATTAAAAATTTCGTAAAAAGTAAAGGCAAAATCATGTAATAAGCATATAGTTAAATGAAACATGTAATCATTCCATGTATAAGTAAAAATTAGGTATCTGCTGCTAACAAAAGTTAAATTTAAATTTGATAGATTACACAAGCAGGGTTAAGAGGATAACAAGAAACAAGCAAGTAAATAGAAAGTTGTAATAAGTAAACTCACCTCTAAGCTTTTGAGAGGGAAAAATTTCAGGCAATTTATAAGTAATCTGAAAATTGGCATTGCCTCGTTACAAATTGAACAGCAAAACGATGCCATTGATGAAATTAACTGTCTAACAAACAAGAATAATGAAGAATCCGAGAAAGGTATTCTTATAATCAAAAAGTTCAAAAAAGGTCTCAAGAATTCGCAGACTTTGACCATTCCCAATCCCTTATTTTTTGCCATAAATAACAAAATTTGATTCACAAGTTCCGATTCAACCTCTCTCCGACTCGAAAGAATCTGAAATTTCCATAAATAAATAATTAAAAAAACAACAATATGGATTAGGATGGGTATGATGATGATAACTCAATTTAACTTAATGTAAACCTTGATGAATGGGTGATCTTCATGGGACTCGGGTTTCCACGACCCGTTACTACGTTCGAACCCGATGCGAACGAGGAAGCCTAATGATTTCACGAAGATTGAGGCGAATTTTGGGTCGGATCCTTCCAATGCTGATTGGAGATCCACCAAGGCCCGAGACAGGTCCAGTTTGAAGTCCAAAACGAGGCGGCAGAGCTCGCGAACTGACTGGTCGACAACGGCGGGGGACGAGGACTGGAGGCATTGGGAGATGGCTTGGGTTCCCGGAATGGAATCCGGTCCGAGGTGAACTGGAGCGGTTCGAAGCTTCGAGAAGATGGAGATTACGGCGAATTTTTGGAAGGACGGTTGGGCAACCCGGGTTTTCTCTAGTAATGAAGTGTATGAGTCCATTTTTTTCGACAGAAGACCCGTCTCGAGTTGGATAATGAGTCATGAGTTGCGTTGGCGGAGCTTGGAGGTGGAAAAAGAATAAGAGTAAGAAATCATCAGTTAAAACGACAACGTTTTGCATTGTTTGAGCTAAGATTTGTTTTAAATTTATTATTAAAATAATAAAACTATTTTATTTTATTTAAATATTTTTAGATATGTTTTTTAATCCATTTTTAGGTAATAAATAATCATATACTATCTATCAAACCCACTTGAAAAACTCCAATTCTACTTATTGAAAGTAGAAAAATAAGATTGATGGAAAATTAATAAAAAGGAATCGAATCTATTCAAATAATTCTTATATGAAGTTAAGATTTAATCAAAATAATTTATCCATTTTTTTAGTAACGTTCGGTGAATAACTAATGCCAAATCCAATTTATCTCATCACTTCGTAAATTTCTCTTTTCTCGTATCTTCTTGAGTTTTGGATTGTGGTTTTTTTTTTTTAAAAAAAAAAAATCTTCTTTGTCTTAAAATATGAACAATAAAAAAAAAACAAAAATAAAATCTTGAGTTTTGAGTTTTTACCGTTTTAAAGTTTACATGCCATAACATAATTCGGTTGAGTCAAGTTGTTTAAGCAAAAAATTTAAACTCAAGTTTAACTTTAAATTTGTTATTCAAAATTTAATTTGAGCTCAATCAAATTTTAATTTTTAAATTTAAGTTTGATTTAATATAAAAATTAAGTTATTTAAATTCGTTTGATTAAATTTATGTATCTAATTAAAAAATTTGATTCTAATGTTTAACTTCAAATTCAATTATTTGTATTCAAATTTAAACTCAAATTAATAAATATACATAAAGAGAAAATAATATTTTTAAATTAAAATAATTAAAATATATTAAAATATAAAATTTTGATTAAGTTTATGAGTTACCCGAGTTAGACATTATGATACTTGAGCTTAATTTGCTTAATAAATCAAGGTGTTTGAGTTCAACTTAACTCAATAATAATAAAATCAAATTTAAATTTTATCTTAACTAAATCTAAATAACTTACGAACTTAAATATCATTTACACTCTTAAGGGGCATTTAGTTCAAAAAAATCTATAAATTTTTTCTCGAAATTTTATTGTTGAGTATTTTATTCCAATATTTGATTCAATGTAATTTGATTTTGAGGAAAAGTGACATATTTTCAATATTACTCAAAGTCTCGAAATAAAAAACTCACATCTCCTTGTGATATCTAGCATTTTAAGAGGAAATTTTGTATTATTTTCAAAATTGACTTGAATAAAAAAATTATGAAATAGCAGTTATTATTTTAAAAAGTATGTCTTAAAGTGACTACAAATCGATTATAGATTTCTATTGTTAATTTTTTTTTATATTGTAATTAATGATGTTTGGTATAAAAAATGCCTTAAATAATCATATTCAAAATTTTTTATTATTTAAGATGATTTCTGACTAAAAACGCTTTAAATAATCATTTAAAAAAATTGAATTACAAAAAATACCTTAAATAATCTATAAAAAAAATTGAACATGATTATTTAAGGTGTTTTCTAGTCAAAAAAACCTTAAACAATCTTATAAAAAAATTTATCAGCATTATTTAAGATATTTTTTAGTCATAAATGTTTTAAATAATAAAAAAAAAAAGTAATCCCTAAAAATAAACACTAAAAAGTAAGATCAAACCTATGACCTTATGATTAATAACTATATGCTCTAACCAACTAAGCTATTATAATTTTTTATGTTTTATCTATTAAATTTTATAAATAATACGGTCAAAAAAATTGAAGGATATTATTTAAGGTGTTTTTGATCAAAAACGCTTGGGCATTATTTAAGAAGTTTTTGACAAAAACGTCTTAAATAATCCATTTAAAAAAATTAAAACGTTAAAAGGAGGAATCAAACCTACAATCTTATGGTTAATAACCATTTACTCTAACAAACTGAGTTACTCTAATTTTTTTTATATTTTATCTATTAAATCTTATAAGTAATGAAATAGATTATTTAAAGCATTTTTAGTAAAAAAAAAAAGCCTTAAATAATACCAAAAAAAAAGTGAAGGGTATTATTTAAGACATTTTTTTAAAAATGCCCTAAATAATATCCTTCAAAAAACTAAAAATGCCTTAAATACTACTATTTAAAAAATATTAGATATTATTTAAGGTATTTTTTATCAAAAACATCTTAAATAATATCATTTAAAAAATTAAATAGTATTATTTAAGACGTTTTTAATCAAAAACTCCTTAAATAATCACCTTTAAAAAAATATTAGAGATTATTTAAGGCATTTTTTGACTAAAAATTCCTTAAACAATCCCTTCGTATTTTTAAAATGATATTTATTTAAAATCTTAAATAATCTCTTTTAAAAAAATAAAAATGATTATTTAAGATAGTTTCCAATCAGAAACACATTAAATAATCTCTATTTTTTTATTGATGATATTTTATAAATAAAAATAGCAATCACATAAAATATTTATCTTATTTTGCTGTTAAAGATATTATTTGTCATTTGGGTATTTATTATTAATAAAAACTAAAAAAAGTTACCATCATATATGTTAAGGATATTATGATAATGTAAACATCATTTTTTAATATTTTTTTTCTTTTCTTTTTTTTGGCAGCTTTTTTTTGTTGATCGCCTGTAGCTACCAACAGCTTTGACAGCCACCAACAATCATTTTGACAACCGGTGACCACTCTAACCCTAGGTCACCAAAATCTCATATGTTCTAGCAATAAAAAAGGACCTGTTAAAAAAAATCATTCTACAAAAAAAAAAACATAGTCCCCTGAAATAGGGAACCCAATGCCAAAAACACCTGTAAAAAATCAATCAAAATCAGTTGTAACAAAAAACAAGTCGGAATACAAAAATAAAGAGAGAGAAGATTTTGACTAAAAGTTCAAAAGCAGATCTACGTCATTTGGGGTAACCTTTTGGTAAAATGGAGGCCAGATTTGGGTTCAAGGAGTTGAGAAGAGCATTTTGATGTTTTTTAAAATTTTTTGATATCGGCGACGATGGTCGGAGCTTACTGCTAGTAAGAACCAAGGCGGCAATCATGACAGACGGCCATCGACCTCTAAACTGTCTGAAAGGAAGAGTGAGAGTTTTTTTTTTGGGGAAAGGGGGAAGAAATGCTGATTTTTTTTTTTTTTACTTTTATATAGAATGCTAGCCTAAAATGATGCCATTTCATTTAAATGACCAAAACGATGTCATTTTAAGCCTAAGATCTGTGTGTCAATTTGTCAACCCGACTCGGAGTTCATGCAATTGACCCGATAACCTGACTTACCCTTTAACCTTTGATCAATCTAGCTAAATCAACCCAGACTGGTTTCGAATTGTCGTACCACCCAGACCAAACCGAGCTGTCGAACCGATCAAACCCCCAGTTGACCAATCCGATTCAAGTAAAAAAATTTTTTTTTATGTTTTTTATATATTATTTTTATAATATTTATGCATATTAAAATATTTAAATTTGTTAGAATAAGTTTTCATGTAGTTAAAATTTTTATAATTTTGTTAATTTTAAGATAAACTTTAATAATAATAATAATAATAATAATAATAATAATAATAATAATAACAAAAAACTTTCTAATAATAATATAAATTAAATAAAAATGTAAGAAAAGAAAATTTTTATCTGACGATGAGATTTGTAGGTACTCCGAGTAGTGATATCTACGAAATCTCTTTGTGAAAAAAATTTTTTTAAATACTACCAGTGTATTAGAGTATTTATAAAAAAGTCTTCAATACAATAAAAAAATTTTAAAAAAATTATAAAATAAAAAAATTAACTAATAAATAAAGAATAAGTGATAAAAAAATGAATGAAAAAAGAAAATTTTATCCGATGATGGGATTTTAAAAGTATTCCAAGTAGAGATGCTTTAAGAAATCCCTAGGTGAGAAGATTTTTTAAATATTGTCAGTGTATTAAAATATTTATAAAAAATCTTTAATACAATAAAAATTCCTCTTTTCTTCAAAGTTTAAATTAATAATATTTATAAATAGTAAAAATAAAATGTGTGCATCAATATGTTAGCATTTGCATTGCATGCATAACATAGTTTTCACGAAAAATAAATTCGAGCCTCCAATGATGAGATTCTAAGGTATTTCGAGAAGTGATGCCTAAAAAATCTGTAGGTGAGAAATAGTTTTTCTAATGTTACTAACATACTTAAATATTTTAAAAATTATTTCAATAAAAGGGTTTCAATTTATTTTTCTCAAATAAAATTTGAACAATAAATAATAAAAAGATTAAATAAAAAACCAAATTTCCAATAAATGAAAATTCAAGAAAATTATTTTTCAAACATAAAAAATAAGATTGTTTTTATTAAAATCAATAGATAACACATAGTTAAGTGGTACCATATTTAAACGGGTGCTATGAGAGTGCTAATCCTTCCTTTATACGTAACCGACTCTCAAACTCAGACTGTTTCGTAAACCATAAAATTGTATTTTTAATAAATTTTAATTAATTTTAAAATTTTATTAAAAGGATAAATTTTAACAAATGGCCAACCGCACTTAACCAAAAAAGATTGGTGGCGATTCTTTTTTTCATTTTTTTGTTTTTTTTCCAAATTCGTCGAATGGACACAAAACCGTTATGACAGCTTGGCGACTCCGCTGAAAATGCCATTTGTTTTCGAGAGTCAGGCCAAAATTAACTATGTGTTATCGTCAAATTTTGATTTCAACAGTCCTAATTGGTTTCTTAGATTTTTTATTTTTCACTTTCAATAAAAAAATAAATCGAAAACAAAAAGAAAAAAATGCACACACGTTTCTTTTACTATGCCTCTTATGCTTTATTTCTTTGTATATATTACTCTCAATAAATTAGGATATATTTACACACACAATGATACGATGTATCTCATACATGAGCTTTATACCCGGGCTCCGTCTTTATAGGAAAAAGTAGAGTACCTATGCCTTCGTGAGGTGATAACTTCAGTAATGGCAA